GTATGTCAGTCACAAAATAGCAAACACTTGAGAAATGGAGGGGCGCCTGGGTGGCGCAGTCGGTTAAGCGTCCGACTTCAGCCAGGTCACGATCTCGCGGTCCGTGAGTTCGAGCCCCGCGTCAGGCTCTGGGCTGATGGCTCAGAGCCTGGAGCCTGTTTCCGATTCTGTGTCTCCCTCTCTCTCTGCCCCTCCCCCGTTCATGCTCTATCTCTCTCTGTCCCAAAAATAAATAAACGTTGAGAAATGGAGGCATATAGACATGGAAGGATGCACTCAAGGTCATGGGCGTGGTAGTCACAGAGGTGAGACCAACTTCCAGGTGCCTCATTGTTAAGTCAACATGCACAACCATGGCTGGCCCGCTGTCCTAGATCAGGGCTCTTTCTGAATCCCCATACATCCAGGCCACTGTCACCTTCTGTGTGAAGCTTGGATGTCCCGTCACATCACCACCGTCCATTGGAACGCCACCAAGATCAATGCTTTCAGAAAGCTTGCAGGCAGCTGGACCCTCCACACTCCACAATCCCGTGGTCTTCTGTCTCGGTCCTCTATCTCAGCTCAAGATGCAAGGCCCTCTGCTTTCCTGTGCTGTCATACTCTATCAATGTCTGTTTCCTTTCATCCTACTCCACTTGTCAATGTTCCTTTCCACACTGCCCTGTCTTCCGCCGAACAAACCTTTCAGCTACAACCACTTGGTTGACCATCTGGCCCAACTCTTGGCCTTAACTCTTCCCCAAGGACACTGCTTCCTTGTAGTCTCCACAGTGGGGTTCATTCTCCTACCTCTGACCTATATCTCAGGACGGTACGGTGGGATCATGGTTCTCCTCACTGGTGGTTACTCTTTGCAAACCATGACTTCTCCATTCTTGTGGCTCCGTGGACTCTCCATTCCCCATACTGCATCGCCATGTCCCCTGCACATTGACGTCATTTACCGTTCCACTTGTTGCTCTACCCCTTCCCTGAACACTTGGCTCACGGACCTTCTCTCCACCAGCCTGAGTGACATCAACATCCACATGGATAATCGTCCAGTTCCTCTGTCTTCATTTTTTCCTCAATTCAGCCACCTGGTTTTGTGGCCACATTTTATCCTGCCATTACTGAAGGACTTTGTCTACATCTGAAACCTTCAATGGAAACATTCCACTCTCTGCCGAAAACCTTCTGTCAGCGATTTAGCAACTGACCCTTATTCCACCTGTTCCTTCCCTGTGTTGGTGCCACCACAAATGGAGGATTTTCAGCACTGTGGCTTCTCTGTTTTGTTTCTTAACCGTCCCCTTACGCTCTTCTCCTCTTTCCTATCCAGTGTAGACTCCACGGCCTATAACCTTGAAAAAAACTAAAAAACGTCTTGGAGTATAACTGATAGCACAACATTTGTCTATTTTAAGTGTAGTATTCAATAATTGTTAATAAGTTTACTGAATTGTACAGCCTTCACCATAATCCAGAATTAGAACACTTTCATCATGCCAATACGATTACTGCCCACCTCAAGAATTCCCATTCCCACCACCCAGCCCCAGGCTGTGCTCCAGACTAACTTAACTCTGAATCTACACCTGGGTGGTTGGACGTTGCCACAGGGAACCACTGATGAAGACAGGTGCCATTGTAAATACATGATCTTAACTAGGTGGGCTCTCAATGCTGCTCAGAATTCTTTGGGTTTCCCTGGTGGGTCTTCTCTCCCACTTGTCACAGATTCTATTTCAAACTCTGCGCCCTTCTCAAATCTCTAACTCTGCCACCTCCTCTCGCGCACAGACTCAACTGATGAACACAGACGTCATTAGACACGGTTCTCAATTTTCCACCATCATCCTACCACCTCAGCTAAAGGCACAAATATCGCTGTCTCCCTTCTTTGCGGTCGGAGAGACGTTCTTCCTGCTATGGGTGATCCTTCCAGCTCTTCTCTGGGTACCATCATCTCCCAGCACAACAGATGTGACCAGCAGCCTTCTCAATGCTGATATGGATGGGCTCACCTCTTTCCAAGTTGTCCACTTAGCTATTAAGAAAATACATGGCTGACACAGGGCAACAGGCCTTACTTGATTTTGGATGTTGGTACCAAGACCCCTGTGACTAGAAACACATGACCTTTGTGCTCAGCTCTGCCAATCTGGCCACGTCGAGACTGCCCCACGCCCAGCCTGGGGCTCCCCACTGTCCCCTGTCCCGTACCGTATGGCGTAGGTCATCCGGTCAGGCCGCATGACTCTCATCATACAGAGGCGCTGCAGGGCTGTCTTGTCCTTCCACTCCTGTGGAAACTTCTCCTTCTCAGGACATTCCGATTCCACAAACTTCTTCCAACTCTTGGCGGATCCCTCAATGTCTCGATCCAGATTACAGAATTCTTCCATTGATGAAAGTGCCTGTGACATTTTGGAGAATCTTGCTGTGAAACACAGTTTCTCCAGAAAGCTATAGTTTTCATTGCGTTGGGGGCAGGGGGAAGGTGTCAAGGAACGAGATACGAGTATAGACGTAATTCTGTCTTGCTCATACTCGCGTCTGGAATCTTGGATCTTCCCCCCAGGTAAGCTCAAGGAAAAGGAGGTGTTTTGATCAAGTCGCCTCAGCAAACTGTACTAATAGTGTGCAAGGGCTAGCAAATAAAGTGTTTGGATTATTATCAGTAGCACATTGAACTGCACCTTCGGGCAGGGTATTGATTGGGAAGAGGGACAAGAAAAGATACCATGACTTTTCTGTTCACGGAGCCCAGACGTTTCAAGTCTCCGACTCCTTCCTTTTATCTCAATACTCATTCTGCTGGCAACTCAAGTTCTCTCCCAAGGTGCCTCTAGATGGTGACTTTGTGTGAACGCCAACACTGAAATTTCCATGAGTTGCCTGCTTCCAGTAAGAACTAAGTCCAAATACGCAACTTAGTAATCAAACGTTTTCATCTAGCGTTTCCTTCCGATCCATCCGGGGAACCGGGTGTCCTTCTTCCCTCCTACTCTGTCCAAGAGTATCAGTGCCCAACCCTGGAACCGTGCCGGACTCATTCCCAACTCAACTCTTTGTCTACGCTACTTTCATCATGCGAGAGATCCTTGATCTCTCCTCCCCCCAAATTCCACTCCTTCCTTTTCTTTTTAAAAAAATTTTTTTTTCAACGTTTTTTATTTTTATTTTTGGGACAGAGAGAGACAGAGCATGAACGGGGGAGGAGCAGAGAGAGAGAGGGAGACACAGAATCGGAAACAGGCTCCAGGCTCCGAGCCATCAGCCCAGAGCCCGACGCGGGGCTCGACCTCACGGACCGCGAGATCGTGACCTGGCTGAAGTCGGACGCTTAACCGACTGCGCCACCCAGGCGCCCCACTCCTTCCTTTTCTTGTGCTGGTCACAATTAGCATGTGGTAAGGTCCTACAGGTTGTTACAGTCCTGGTCATAATCAGCAACCTCTCTCAGGTATCTTCTCTCTCACAGAGAAACACAGAGCCTTCCCATCCTTCTTGCGTGGGCTACTTGGAACTACTCAGTGTTGAAATCTTTAACAAAGGGTCTGATTCAAGGTTCAGATGTTTGGTAGCTGACAGCTTTAAAGCCTTATCCACTCCCCTGCCACCACCCCACACTTTCTTCTTCTCCTCCACATCCAAGCAAGCTGATAAGCAAGTCTTGGTACTCCCTCCTCGGGTGCTGGAGGGAAGCCGAACCCTGTAAACCCCTGCTCACATACAGAAATACTCACCCCTGCCCCAACCTTAAACTACTAAAAAAAAATAATAATAATAAATAAATAAAACAAAAAAAAAACACAAAAACCAAAGTGGTCTCCTTCCTTGGCTCTCTCAAGCCATTTTCAAATTTGGTTTTTAACGTTTATTCATTTTTGAGAGAGAGACAGAGAGAGAGCAAGTGTGTGAGCAGGGGAGGAGCAGAGTGAGAGGGAGACACAGAATCTGAAGCGGGCTCCGGGCTCTGAGCTGTCAGCACAGAGCCCGACGTGGGGCTCGAACCCACAGACCGTAAGAGCCGAAGTTGGATGCTTAACCGACTGAGCCACCCAGATGCCATGTGAGTAATACATTTTTTAATACTCTCTTGGTGTGTGCGTGGCGTCATCAGTCTTGATGTCAAAACCAAATTTTGGGTGGTGGTTCATCCCATCCCATTCCTTGACAATGCCCACATAAACATTAGTCACTTGGACACTTTTCTGCAATTCTTTCCATTATTACTTGACTCTGCTTATACATTTGGTCTCTTCCATGAGATTAAAAGGTAGAGTATGTCCAAAGCATCTACCACAATGCCATGAATTTTAAGTATCCCAATACCTTCTTGCTATTTGAATTCATCTGTTCGTCCATCCATCCATCCATCCATTCAACATTTATTGAATGCTTCATGCCAGGCACTTGGGGGTACAAAGGTAAAAAAAAAAAAAAAAAAAAAAAAAAAAAAGGACACACGCCTTCAAGGAACTTGCAGTCCTAAGCGAAGGAGAAAGGACAGATGAGGGAGGCCTTCGGATGTAAGTAGAATTCTGTTGGGCAGAGATGGAGGGAGAGAAAAGGGAAGGGCATTTAATGGGGTGGGGTCAATGAGAGTCAAAGTCTGGAAAGGGGAGGGGGGGCCTGTCAGAAAGCAGTGTGCCAGCAGCAGAGGGGTCTTACGGGTGACCCGGGGCAGGTGAAGCTAGAGAAGGACATAGACCCTTAGTCTGGGCTCGCCGAGTCTCATTTCCCACGTGGACAAACACAGGTCCTGTCTTCACGTGCCCTTTCACACGGGCTCTGTGTCCCCCCCCCACCCCCTGCCCCACTTGACCTTGGCCACTAAGCAGGGGGTGCATGTCACTCTATTGAGAGGTGGGGGCCAGGGGGAGTGGTGTGTAGCACGGGGAAGGGGGAGCCAGGAGTGGAAGGCTCTGGTCCCAGCACCATCGCCCCACAAGCCTCTTGTGACTCAGAGACTGTGGGCTTTGATTTTCCCACTTGGATAATGAGGCCAAGCAATCCCGGTCCCCCGTTGCTCACATTCTAATGTAGAAACGAGTGCTTTGAAGATGGTAACGCCCTCCCTGCTGCTTCCTTGGGGTTCCTGCAGTTAGTGAATCCCCCCACCTGGCTTACTTGCCTGTCACTCCCACAAGACTGTGAGTTCCCTGCGGGCAAGGACTTTCTTCGGCAAGGACTTTCTTAGGCATCTCCGAAAGCCTTGGAACTAGCAGGCTGCCTGGCGCTTAGCAAGTGCTCAATTAATAAAGTTTGACATCTGGGCCGCCAGCAGGAGGGCTCTTGAAAAGCTGCTGCTACTGTAATTACTTCTCTCTGGGCTGAGGAACCGACTCCCATCTTCTTACAGCTTCACCCCTGCTCCCAGCTGGCATCACCATTAACCCTTCTGCGGGCCCGTTACCCCCTCGGGTGATACCACAAAACTGAGCACATTATGCCCCGATCAGCGTTCCCAGCTGCCGTGACTGGGTCTGAAACACGCTTTCTTGAGGCTCTGGGTTGAGCACAATTGCAACATTTAATCTTCCAAATGAGGCAAAGGGATTTCTAGCCTTCTAATAAGCTAAATGGAAATGACTAATTAACCTAATTACATTGGGCTGTGCAGCAAAATACAACTGTGCAAATTGGCGTCCAGAGTGGAAGGGAGAGGTCCTTTCAGACTCTGACAAAGGCGTGCATCATCGAAGAGATTTTATAATGGAGAAAGGGACGTGCCATTACCTTCCGGCTCAGCATTTGGTGAGACTTAAAACATCCTCACAAAGGATAATCATAAAAGGAGTCTTTTATCTCAAAGAGTTCGCTCATTACCTGATTATTAGTGCTTCTGGGGAAACAAGGCAAGCAACCTTCCTCGTCAGATAGAATTAAAAACTTCTGTTTGGTAAGTCATATCCTATGCAGTTGTATTTATGTCTTCAGGCTAACATTCAACCCAACGCTTAAAAGGAGCGTTGATCAAAGGCTTTGGTGATGTGTACTACGCATCATATTTTGTTCCACCTGCTGACATCCTGCCCCGTGCTTCAGCGGGATGGGGGTGGCCTTTTGCTGCCCTACCTAACGCAACTCAGAGAACGCGAGAGAAAGCTAAGCGCTCATTTGTAAAAGGCTTTGACCAGCCAGACGAGCTTAGCCCACACAACCAAACGGAGAAGCGAAGCAGAGCAAGCAATCCGTCTTGTGGAAAGAGAAACGGAACTGGGTGGCACAGGAGCTTTCGAGTTGAGTAACGTCAAGTGAAAGTGGTAGGGTGTGCTTTTGAATCATTTATTCTTTATGACTTTTGCTGCGGAGGGCTTTGTGGCGTAGCACAGGGAAAGGCAAGCTGGACTGGAATTCCAGACTCACAATTCCTCAAGGTTTCACCTTCAGTGGACAAGTTCCATCAGGCACGATGCCCATCAACCACAGCAATATATACACCCCACAGCCGGGTAATTAATAATCATAACTATTATGGGGTGAGCTGTGTTCCCCAGAAAGATGGGCTGAAGGGCTAACTTCCCAGACTTGTGTGTGACCTTATAGTTGGAGGTAGGGTCTTTGCAGGTGTGATCAAAATGAGATGAGGTCACCAGGGTGGGCCCTAACCCAGTACGACTGGTGTTCTTAGGACAGAAGATGTCAAGACACACAGAGGGAAGATGACATGTGAAGGCCGTGGGGATGGACTGAGGCCACCACAAGCCAAGGAATACCCGGAGCCACTGGAAGCCGGAAAAGGCAAAGAAGGATCCTCTCCTAGAGACTCTGGAGGGACCATGACGCCGCTGACATTTTAATTCCAGACTTCCAGAGTCCAGAACTGCGAAGAGGACCCAGGCTGTAGTACTTTGTGATAGCAGCTCTAGGAAACTAATGCCATGGCCATCATCATAACTATAATCACAAGTACGTTCCGTTTCCTGACCATTTACTATCTGTTCAACGGAGCCCTAGGAGGTGGGTATTATAATAGCCATTTTGCAGATAAGGAAAGAAAGGTTCAGAGGAATGAGATCATGTGCCAAAGGCCACACACACTCCAACTAGAACTTGAACCCAGGAATGTCTGCCTCCAGAGCCTGTGTTAACCAGTCCATCATTACTCCGGTTCTGCAAATGGGCTCATTCAGAACTGATTTCCAGAATTTATTCCCTCCATAAGGGCAGCAGACTATGAGTGGGTATTCTCAGCCCTGGGGCCACACTGTCCATCAAGGTAGTCAATGAGCCAATGAAATGTGGCTCATGTGATTGAGGAATTGCATTTTTTTTTTAAATTTTTTTTCAACGTTTATTTATTTTTGGGACAGAGAGAGACAGAGCATGAACAGGGGAGGGGCAGAGAGAGAGGGAGACACAGAATCGGAAACAGGCTCCAGGCTCTGAGCCGTCAGCCCAGAGCCCGACGCGGGGCTCGAACTCACGGACTGCGAGATCGAGACCTGGCTGAAGTCGGACGCTTAACCGACTGCACCACCCAGGCGCCCCAGGAATTGCATTTTTTAATCGCACTTAATTTTAATTATTCTTATTCTTTTTTAAGTTTATTTACTTAAGTAAACTTTACACCCAATGTAGGGCTCGAACTCATGACCCTGAGATCAAAAGTCTCATGCTTTCCTGCTGGGCTATTCCAGTTGCCCCAATTTTAATTATTTTTAAATTTAAGTTTAGAAGCTGGAACTTGGCTTTAGTAATTTGGAAAACTTTTAAGTACGTTCTGAACAACTTAGGTCAATATTGTAAATCTAAGTTTTGTGAACTCTAAATATGTATCCAGTGCTTGTGATGAAAAGTTAACACCTGAATTGAAATGAGCTGTACGTGGGGCTCCTGAGTGGCTCAGTCGGTTAAGTGTCTGACTTCGGCTCAGGTCATGCGGTCTGTGAGTTCGAGCCCTGCATCGGGCTCTGTGCTGACAGCTCAGAGCCTGGAGCCCACTTCAAATTCTGTGTCTCCCTCTCTGTCTGTCCCTCCCCTGCTCATGCTCTCTCTTTTTTTCTCTCTTTCTCTCTCTCAAAAATAAAGATTAAAAAAAAAAAAAAAGAATGAGCTGTACGTGTAAAAACTACACACCAGAATTCAATGACTTGATAGAAAAACAAAAAATATTTCATGAATAGTTTTTATAATAACTACCTATGCAAATGGTATTTTGGCTACCCTAGGTTTTTCTCCACAAATCTCTGCATTTATCATGATTTTTCTTAGAAATCTTGGAACTTTGTTATTTTGGTCATTGTTGTGAATGGAGTTCTTCATTACTCCTTTTCCAGTATATTATTCCTCTTCTTATCTGCCAGACAGGGTCCAGAATGACAAATGCAGTTAATAAATGAAAATCACTCACACCTTTGCTGTTTAGGTCAGGGATCAGCAGACTATAGCTTGCAGACCCAATCTGGCCCACCGCCTGTCTTTGTAAATAAAGTTTTATTGGCACTCAGCCATTTCCGCTTATTTACACATCGCGTGTGACTTTGGCAGAGCTGAGTAGTGACTCACTCAGTAGTGACTGAGTCTGGCCCTCAAACCATAAATATTTACTGTGTGACCCTGTACAGAAAAAGTTTGATGAATCCTGATTTAGATACAGCCCTAAAGATGATTCAAAGAATACCTGTGGACTCTGAAAAAGAAGTTAGAAAAATTTTTTGGGCAAAGGCAGCATGAGTGAAATTAGCCTCGAATTTCCTAAGACGGTTCCTTCGAAGAGGAGAGCGTGTGTATAAATATTAAGTTCTGGGCTTCTGTTATAAAATGAGTCCACTTGGATGGCTCTCAGGGGAATTATGCTCCGTGAACAAGCCAGTCCGCCAAGGCTACATACTGTAGGATTCCATTTACATAACGTCCTTGGGAGGACAAAATTGTACAAGTGGAGAACAGATTAGTGGTTGCCATGCGTGAGGCACTAGGGGAGGGATCAGGTTGTTGTGGTCATAAAGGGCAGCATAGGGGTCCCTACAGTGATGGAATTTTCTGTACCTTGACCGGGGTGGTGGAACCTTGGTGGTACCTTGACCGGGGTTCTGTACCTTGACCGGGGTGAATTTTCACATGTGAAACACACACACACACACACACACACACACACACACACACACACACACGCATAAAAAATTAGTGAGATCAGACTCAGATTAGTGGATTGTATCAATGGAAATTTCCTGGGTGTATGTTCCAAGATAGGAATGCAAGATGTTACCACGGAGGGATGCAGGGTATGAAGGATATTTCTATTATTTCTTATAATTGCATGTGAATTTGTATCATCTCAACATTTTAAAAAACTTAATAAAAAATGTAAAGAGCAAGAGAACCACTCCCGTCACTTGAGAGTCCTTTGTTCTATGAACTGTGTATAACATGCAACAAACATGGATAATCACAAAGAGGATTAATTTCGTATAGATGCCAGTGTCCCCAAAGCACCAGCACCTGCTGTGTGTAAGCATCCAGGTGTGGACCCGACGGCTGCCTACGTGGATGGTGGCCCGGACCCTGCATGGGGGGGGACTGCTCAGTCAACGTCACTGCTCGGCATCATATCGCACACCCATCATGTCACATCAATGCAGGCACGGTCCCTACAGCAAGGAGCTTATACTTTGTGATCTTTTCGTGGAATAACGTTCATAGAATCCCAACCACACTCAGCTGCGTAACATGGAAAGAAAACATGCTTTGCGTTAAATGCGAATAAAGAACATCGATGTCCCGGGTGAACGTGAGAATAAAATGCATTTCTCAGGTGCTCAATAAATGTGAGCTATTATGAACCGGTAGGAATCCCAGCCTGGGATGCATCCGCCACTGAGTTAGGACCCGCATGGATGTGCCTGAACAGAGCCCTGCCAGGTGTCTGGTTCCTGGGAGCCCTGTTGGAGCACCCCCACACGGCCTGAGGTCCCCACGGAGGAACCCGCGGTCCAGCCCTCAGTGCCGGCAGGTGAAAGGCAGCTCGGCTGAGGCAGGGAAGCTCCCGGATCTTCCTGTCGCCCCACATCCTGAGGGCAGAGCCCTGAACCAGCATGCACCTGTTCCACTGACAGCCTTCCCAGCAGGCCCGGGAAGGGTGAGCTCTGCTGTGGGGGGCCAGGTGAAGGCACGCACCCGTGTTTAACCCCCAAGGAGCGCCGCGCCGACTTCATGGGGACAAGTGTCAGGGGAGAAACTCCAAGAGCTGAGAACTTGACTTTTTTCAAGGGGTCTTTTCTACTGACCTTTATGCCACCCCAGGCCTGATGGGAGAGGAAGCCCACGGGACTGGTGACGCCCGTCTGCCCCGGAGATCGAAGCAGGAAATCCAGCGTGGTCACACTCACTTCCCCGCTCGTGAGGAGGATCTGCAAGGCGGAAGAACGATACCACGATGCTTTAGGGGTGCTGGTCATAGGGTTCTGGAGATCTGGGGGTTCGCACTCGGTATAATCATCGCTGCTTTGAACCCTAGAGCGTGCTCATCAGTGTTGGTTGTTTTAAAGAGGGTGGAGTGTGGGGCACCTGGGGTGGGTGGTGGGTCAGTCCGTTAAGCATCTGACTCTAACTCGGCTCAGGTCATGATCTCACGGTTTGTGGGTTTGAGTCCCGCATGGGGCTCTGTGCGGGCAGCGTGAAGCCTGCTGGGGATTCTCTCGCTCCCTGTCTTTCCCTCCCCTGCTCGCTCTCTCAAAATAAACAAAAATAAATGTTCAAGAGGGCGGAGTGAAAGAAAGTGGTTTATCTGTGCAAATCACTTCTGGGTATGTGTATGTTCACCCACCAACATCAGGGTGACATAAATGCACACAGTGAGTGACCAGCTACCTTGATTAGCAAGCGTTCTATCAGTTCTAAATGCCATGGAGCACATCTCTGCGATCTGAGAAGATGACACATATAAGTGACATGCCTGAGGAGGATGTCAAAGTCACATACGGACACATGCAAGAGAGAAATGCACGAATGAATCAATAATGCTAAAGGGGTTCCAGAATAGGGGAGTGACCAGCAAGCAGGGCAGTGGGATTAATTTGATGAAACCTTTTTATTCTTCTCTTTCTCCTCCTCCTTCGTTTTTTTTTTTTTTTTTTTTTTTTTTTTTTGTTTGTTTGTTTGTTTTGACAGAGAGAGAAAGAGAGTGAGTGTGAGCAGGGGAGAGGCAGAGAGAGAGGAAGAGAGAGAATCCCAAGCAGGCTCCATGCTGTCAGCACAGAGCCCGACGCAGGACTTGATCTTATGACCGTGAGATCATGACCTGAGCCGAAATCAAGAGTTGGACACTCAACTGACTGAGCCACCCAGGTGCCCCTTTCAGTTTTTGAAGTAATCTCTACACCCAATGTGGGGCTCAAACTCATGACCCCAAGATCAAGAGTCACACATTCCACTGACTGAGCCAGCCAGGTGCCCCAAGTTCTTCTGATGACACCACATGCTTCTGGGCTGGAGAGGGAATACAGAGGGTGACAGGGACGAGCCACACTAACACTCCCCCATGGATTCAGGCTTTGGAACATGCAAACAGAGTCAGCCCAGAAGTCATCGTAGCATATCTGGTATTTAGAATTGGAAGAGGCCTTCGAGATAATCTAAGCGTGTTCCCAGTTAACTTACAGAAAAAATTCCCAAACCTAAATGATTAGAGGGATAAGTGCGAGGAAATAAATTCTCGGGCTTTTTGATGTTGAGAGTAAGTGGAAGACAAGGTTTTCTTATTAACACTGGAAGTCCCTGATGCCCCCCAAGCCCTTGAGAATCAGAGTTCTTAAGGACCTTTTCAAGGCCAAATCTGCTATGGCTATGGAAAGACATTTGCAATTTCTTTAAAAATTTTTTTTTAATGTTTATTTATTTTTGAGACAGAGAGAGACAGAGCATGAGCAGGGAAGGGGCAGAGAGAGAGGGAGACACAGAATGTGAAGCAGGCTCCAGGCTCTGAGCTGTCAGCACAGAGCCTGATGCGGGGCTCGAACTCATGGACCGTGAGATCATGACCTGAGCCGAAGTCGGACGCTTAACCAACCGAGCCACCCAGGCGCCCCGACATTTGCAATTTCTTATTCTGAGGGAAGGTTGGGGCATGAAACTCACATCCCTAGAGGTAAATAAATAATGAGGGATGCTCTACATTTCTTCTAGCATCTCAAAAAGTATCTAGTTATTGGTATGGCCATTGAGTTCCATTTTTAGTGCCAGCTTGGGTTGATGGCTAGTGGCCTGCTGGAGGACAGTGTTGAGGAGGATCCTAGGTCATCCAAGGTAAACGAGTACAACGGTTGATTAGGCATGTTTGCCATGAGTGTGACAATGGTGAGGCAGCATGCACGCGCCATATTGGACCTTCTTGTCCGATGCCTCTGCGTAGAGCCTAATAGTCTTCACGTTCTATGGGAAGCGAAGTGAAAAGAGCAAACTTTCTTTACACCTGCTGGTTGGGCACTGGAAAATGACGTGTTTTCTGGAAACTTCTTGATTCTACTTTTACCTGAAAGGTAAGCTGGGCAAGGTAGGTCAGCTTATCACACTCGAAGAGCCCACGTGTGGTGTACTGGTATACGGAGAAGGTGATGCTGTCTATCAGATTGGTCACACGCGCCTTGAGGCTCTCGTCCGGAGCAGCCTTCTCCACAGCCTTCTGGAAGACGATGCTGAAGGCCTGGGGGCAGGACGTTGGACACTGGTAATTTACACAGATCTCTGTATATGTAACTAGTAGACTCACCTGTGAAGAATACTGTAATTTGTCAGCCTCAGAAATGTTTTCCCAGCATATCCTGCCAAGAAGGGACCGTGGTTGGGGCGCCTGGGTGGCTCAGTCGGTTAAGCGTCCGACTTCGGCTCAGGTCATGATCTCATGGTCCGTGAGTTCGAGCCCCACGTCGGGCTCCGTGCTGATGGCTCAGAGCCTGGAGCCTGCTTCCGATTCTGTGTCTCCCTCTCTCTCTGCCCCTCCCCCGTTCATGCTCTGTCTCTCTCTGTCTCAAAAATAAATAAACGTTAAAAAAATTTTTTTTTTTTTTAAAAGAAGGGACTGTGGCAACAAGACAACATTCTATTAGCTCTTTTCTTAGTTCGCTCTTTTCTTAGTAAATTGCTACATTGCCACGATGTGGGCAAAGCTATGAGGCATACACACAAGGGCCTACAGTTCTGACCGGTGAAAAGTGACTATCCAGGAACCAAAATAATTAAATTAGATCCAGTAAGTTCTGTTGGATAACCACCCCCACAAATGGGTAAGCACGGTCAACAATAACCAGCTGGGATTAGTGATACTATCCAGTAAATTCCAGAATTCCTGATGGTGGAGCCAAAATGGGTTGGACAAATCTGTTGTCTTTTTTTTTTTTTTTTTTTCAACTTTTTTATTTATTTTTGGGACAGAGAGAGACAGAGCACGAACGGGGGAGGGGCAGAGAGAGAGGGAGACACAGAATCGGAAACAGGCTCCAGGCTCCGAGCCATCAGCCCAGAGCCCGACGCGGGGCTCGAACTCACGCGAGATCACGCGAGATATCGCGAGATCGTGACCTGGCTGAAGTCGGACGCTCAACCGACTGCGCCACCCAGGCGCCCCATCCAAATCTGTTGTCTTAAAGGGACTCTTGTACATAACAGGTACTCAGAATATTTTAAAATTAGTTACTTTTCCTTTTGGTAACGATCAGAATCTCATGTGCTGTTTTTCTTCCTACTAACTCTGCAGTCATTTGGAGAATCCTTTTACACACCCTTTATTTCTTCATAGACCCTTCCTGAATCAGAGAGCAGGGAGCGAGGCCTGCTTTGGCTACGTCTTCTGAACATTAAGGGTCTCTTATGAAATACAAATGATATGAATCAAGTTTTCGTGGTTTACACGTATACAGCATTTATACAAATCATTAGGAATGCTGCACTTTGTGATATGCATAGAATGAGTCATTAAAGAAAATAAAAATCAAGATATAATCAGGCCTTTCCAATTCGTCTTTACTCTATTGCCCTTTGGTGGCTTCAAAAAAAAAAGAAGAAAAAAAAAAGGAGTCTTGGGTCTTTCCAACACCAGGTATTTAAACCTCAGTGGAAACCATATAAAATTTGCATCTCGATATTTCCTCAGTTGCAAAATGGGGGGGGGGTAGGACCTCCTATTTTTCAAAGTTCCATGGTGTTTCTTGTTAAGGAAACCCTTGCAGACTCCCTTCTTCATTCAGTTTTGATGATCCTAGCGAAATCTTCTGACTGCCTTCAACCCAATCCACGGTGATGTGTGCCCACACCTGGTAGGCTGGAGATTAGCTCAGTGGAGGTGGGTCATGTCCCCCAGGTCCACACAGAGAAATCTGGAAAACTTATACTGGCGAGTGAGTCTGCAGAGACTGAGTGTATAGCTTTCCCCAGGGCGTTCCTGTGCCTTCTTCTCCCTAAAACTATCTTTATTGAAATGATAGTGATCAGTACAGAATCTCCAGCTACTAAGCTTAGACAAGGTGGTTCACGAGTCAGAAAAAAGAACGAAAGAAAGTGCAAAGACCTAGGTACGCTTAGCATTTTCTTTGCATTCAGCTCATTTGGGCTCCCTTCTCCGTTCCATCCTAAAGGGGACTCCCATCCTCCTGACTTCCGGGAGGAAGCCAGCGCCGGGCTGACCTCTGCTTGTACGACCCCCTCCTGGAGGTCATCCGTTGCGCACGCGGTCCCATGGCTGGCTCTAACCACCCTGTCACTCTTCTAGGGCCCCTGTCCATGGCCTTGCGCCTTAGATAGGCTTCACCTTGGGGGCCCCTGGGTGGCTCAGTCAGTTAAGCATCCGACTTCGGCTCAGGTCATGATCTCATGGTTTGTGAGTTTGAGCCCCATGTCGGGGTTTTGCTGACAGCTCGGAGCCTGGAGACTGCTTTGGATTCTGCATCTCCCTGTCTCTGCCCCTCCCCCACTTGCACCCTGTCTCTCTCTCTCTCTCAAGAGTAAATAAAAACATTTAAAAATTAAAAAATATATGTTTCATCTTGTCCTTTCTACCAGATTGTGGGCACACTGAGGATGGAAGTCAGTCCTTAGCAACCCAGAATCCAGCCCAGCTCTTCACTTATGATAGGCATTCAAAAGATCTGGTAATGAATGACTGTGTCCCACTAGTGCCCTAAAGAGCTTGGGCAAAGCATGAGAGATGCTCCAGACCGAGGGTCTCAAACTCAGATGCCCCAGGGGCCAGGTGTGTAAGACCAAACGGGGACGCGGGGAAGGAACGTGGCCAGAGGGAGGCAGAAGCTGATCCTGGAGGAGCCACCCATCCCCTTAGCTCCAGCCAACTTCTACTGTGTGGAAGGAATGGGGGCTCAGTACTGAAATCCAACACACTTTCACGGGAAGCCAGGCATCTGGATTAGTGGTTGTCCCGACTCTTGGATCTTCACCACCAAGGAGGGTGAAAAGCCCTCTGAAAATAGGTCAACAGGCCTTCGGTTTGAGATCAGAGCTCTGTGCTCTTTGCTTCTGTCTGATTCTTCCCTTCCCCACCTCTCTGAGCAAGGTCCCTCCTCCAGCTGTCCCCCTGCACAGAAGACACAAAACAGAGGGACATAGGCCTTCCAGCCAGCGGTCTTATCTTTCTCAGGACCCCCTGGCCCTCGGCCAGTGAAGCCTCATTAACCCTCTCTTAGCCTTTGGCTGAGTTCTGGAGAAAAATGACAACGCACCCCCGTTCCATCTTAACCTTGGTACGAGCTCCCCAGCTTTTTCAAAACTGGCTCTTGAAGAGTGTCTGGGTGTGTAAAAGCCAAGAGACACATTTGGACATATTCCTGCTCAGAGCCATTTGGGAAACAGGGATCTGTGGCTGGAACAGCGACCGTAAAACCCAACCTCAGACAAAAGCCAAGATCATGGAGACCCCAGGGATTGGTTTTTCTTCCCATCGCACAAGGTTTCTAAGTACACTGTTGTTTCGGTCCCTCTGAAGACCCTTCACCTTCTTATCATTAAGCATTTAAATCTGCTCTCGATGATCAAGCTGGTTGGCAAGTCTTAATAACAGTATGGGGGCCAAATGCCTCCCCCCCAAAAAAAACAGTGCTTCTATGACAACACAAGCCTCGATCAGGGTGTTATTGCTGCAAAACAACTTTCCCCAGGTTTCCGAACACATCTTTTCTTGGGTTTCATTTGATTTCTTTTCAGCCACTCTCAGAACTGGGGAGCCCTCTTATAGCTATTCTGCTTACCATGCTAACTCTTACGCTGTCTTAAAACATCTCGTAATTCTTTCATCGTTTGCTTTGACCTGAATACGAGGCCAAGCATTAGATTGCTTTTAAGCGCATAAAATATAAACACAATTCCTTTCGTCTGCAGAGACTCTGAGTTGAGGGAAGGGGACCCGGAAATGGTACAATGCCATCCGCCATTGAATGAGCCCCAGGGACTTGAGACCTCCTGATTTCTCACCTGCTCACCTCCATCCCCACACCTTGACTTCCATCAAGTGTTCCCCTTCGCAGAATGAGGGGTAAGCTCTGACTGTGTAAGTGTGTGTGTGTGTGTGTGTGTGTCCATCCTCTGTCTGTTAGGTCGAACCACAGAGGTTGTTCAGAAATGCTGCACTATCCCTAATGTGTCTTCAACTGTGCATACCCTACGGGAGAAAGATAGACTTTCATCGATTCACTTAAAATTTATAGGGCTTTATTTTTTCATAAGTAAGTTAAGAGCAGTCAGCACTTACAATGTGCTAACACCTTTGGTGTTAGAAATATTTCGGCAACCATAAAGCAGTCGCCTGGAGGAACTTAGGGTAGCGAGGAAACTAATTGAAGGCTGGACTGACGCCATTGCTTGGTCTTTAACCCCTATGAAAGGCACGCACACCTGTGATCATCCCTATCGTACTTTAAGCTCTTTTGGGGGGCAGGGGCCACTTCTGATATTTCTTGGTTCTCTTCCTTGCCTTCAGTAAGCTTAGCACCCATCGTGTCGCCTGCGTGAGTGAGGCTGGGACAGCTCCTGCTCCTGTGGGAATAACCCGTGAGTCCTGAGTGACCCAGTTAAAGAGATGAGGACTGTAAGGTGGGTCTGAAGGTACCGTCACGGGTCCCCCGGATTTGATCTGATAGACCTGCTGTAGCCAACAGAGTCGGGTAAGCCCTCCCGGACAGCTGGGTGGCTGTATGACCAGGTTTACGCAAAACCCCACAGGTGTAGGTCACCTTGAGAGAAAACTGGTACATCGGGTGGATCTTGCTGAGGTCATTCATGATGAAGTAGAGCAGGGAGGCCCGGGCGGCTGCGGGCCGGTAGTGTTCGCGGGCCTCGTTGATTTTCACTTCCGTCACCCTGGCCTCCTGGACCTGGTAGGGAAAGAAATAGCGGTCCGTTCAACTGCTATTC